ATATATGGTGACATCCTCCATAGAGGGAACAAATATTATTCTTAGGCAGACAAGGTTGCGTGGTTGGAGGGTATGAATAAGGGAACTGATAATTTTGTGGTGTAAGAGAGTAATTTTGATGAGGTGTGTAATATTGAGGAGGAGGAGTGTAAGGAGGGTATGACGTATATGGTGAAAATTCCATGGAGGTTTGAGGGTAAGGAATTCCTCTAGGAATTTGGCTGAATGGATTCATCTCATGCCTCTTAGAAAAATACCTGAAAGGTTAGCACAGAAAAATGCTACGGAAAAACAAAAAGAAAACTAACTAAAAAAAATATCGCTGAAATTAATTAACCCTTAAAACCGACACCGTCCCCGGCAACGGCGCCAAAAACTGATGTGAATTTTCCCGCACTTAAAATAAATCGTAATATAGTGGTGTAAGTACGAGTACCGTCTCCACAGGGACGGACAAAAGGGAATCAAGATTAACTAAATTCGGCGATTAAAAAGAAATAAAATAAATGCGTCGTGCGAGATTGGTTGGTATGAAAATTAAACTAATGCGAATGAACGATTAAAATAAAAGATTGGTTTCTCTCTAATTAACGACGAAGGGAACAAGGATTGATTCCGGGGTAACCAGATTTCTAGCAGATCAGGCGTAATTACATGAAATTAATTTAATTGAGCCTAGCTAATCATTACTAAGTTCTTACCGCTCTCGCGGCGTAGAGTACAATAATTTAGGGGATCAGGCTGATCTCTCATGCGAGGATCCTAAATTATTGCCAAAACGAGCGAGCTTACGGCCCCTTAATCGCTACTAATCTCTTAGCGAACGAGTAAGTGTGTGTGAATGTGTCCTAGAACAAATTAGATCTCTCTTAATTTATTCTATAAACAATTGTAATTCTAGCTGCGGCTCCAGGTTACAAAAGATATCAGTTAAATTATTTAAACACAAATTAAACGGCATTCATGCAATTAAACCAACAAGAATCTATCCATACATCATGATTAACCCCTTCATCAATCCCAAATCCCTAATTAAAACTACTCGCAATTCATAATTGATAAATCAACACAATTAGGATGAATATAATTAATTATCATTAATTAAAAAGATGAACTTACAAATAATCCCAGGGTCTTGAAGTAAACAATCGTAAAAACGCAAGAAAATTCGTCCCTAGGCCTCTCCGTAATGTTCGTAACCCCTAAATAGGAGAATTGAGACCTTATTTATAGAAAACAGGTGAATTTGAGCTGGATTAGGACAAATCGGGGTCAGGCACGGCGCCAGGCACGACCGTGCCTGCGACCGTGTCTACGGAACACTTTGCGCAATTCGCCTCCATGCACGACCGTGCCTGGGTTCCAGTAGTTGCCTCCTTCGTTTCTCTTCAGGCACGGTGTGCCTGATGGTTAGGCACGACCGTGCCTGGCCATTCTTCGCCGCCAGCAATCTCGCAAGGCATGCACGGCGTGCCTAACGCCGGGCACGACCGTGCGTGACCTTTTTCTTCACTATTTCTTCGATTTCTTGCTCCAAACGCTCCCGAATGCCCCCGTACGTGATCGATCCAAAGACTTTTTTTCATCAAAATTTTGACGTGAATCTCCCGGTGATCTCCAAAACTCTCAAATATCTCTCAAATGCTTTCAATCTCTTCCCGATTGTCTCTCAAGCACCGATGCCAGATTCTAACTTCTTCAATTTGACTCCAAATGCAACAAAACTCGACCCAACGCCTGGTAAACACAACTTGAGCTAAAATTGAGACTTTCAATGCCTTAAAGCTAGGAAAACCATCAAAATCCGACCCCAACATGCATCAAATGCGTGTTGTAATACGAACTTATCACCGCAGCCTCTCAATGTTATTCGTGTCACCCCCTCATATTGTAAGGAATAAATGTATTTAGATTTTGATGATGCTAGGTTAACTAGAATATTAGAGTACCCCTTCTTTAGAAATCTTGTATTAGTTTCTCTTTGTAAGTATTAGCATAGTCGACTGGCCAGAGACCCTCTTGAATTTTCTGATCAGAGCTGCTACCAGAGCTGCTCTTCAGAGAAGCTACCAGAGCTGCTCCTCAGGTATGCTACTAGAGTTGTCATCAGAACCCGACTTCAGAAGTGCTATCAGAGAACCTCATCAGGCGATGATGAGCACTTAGAAGATTTCAGTGCTACCTCCAACGGCCGTGAAACTACAGGAAATACCTTAACGGCTAGAAGACTTTCCATGAAAAGAAAAAGGAAAGCATTTAATGCTCATTTAATGAGCCTGATACGCTGTGGAGTAATTGCAGATGATTGACCGAGATTCCTGGAGAATACTATACAAAAATAGCAAGCTACCAAATTTGTGGGTCCATCCTGTCAACTCTACAGTACGCGCATTCATTGCAGTTGTCTCCTCCTCCAACGGGAAGACAACTCCAGTATAAAAGATACACCTTGAAGAACTTCGAAGTAAGAACTTTTGCTCTCACTACGACATTCACAAAGCTTTCTTGAGATTCAAATTTCATCTTCATCAACAAGAAAAGCCTACGTTGGAAAGATTATAAACTCACATATCCTTCTACTCCAACAAGAGCAAGTTCCTCCAGTTCTTCAACACTTCGAGCACCTCATTACAAATCTATTGTGACGAAGCAAGTTGGAGAAAAACTCTGTTTTTCTACAGAACATCTTCTGCAAAGAAGGACGTCTTAAAGTAGTTGGAGTAGTGAAGTGGTGATACTTCAAGAGACTCAGTGAAACGAGACCAGTCATCAGGAAACCAGGAAGAGCATCCCGGGTGACAACTAGGCTTGAAGAAGACGTGGAGTGCTTCTTAAGTTCTAGGGACTAAGGCGTTGTAACTGTTGTTTTACAAGCTTAGTGGAACAGTGGACTAGAGGAACACGTTGTTCCTTGAACCACTATAAAAACTCCGGTGTCATTTACTTTACGCATTTTATTTCTGCACCTAAGAATATAACTGCTTAACTCCCAAGAACTTGGATTCTGTGCTCAGCAGATCTTGTTCTAAGAGTTATGAGAAAGGCATAAGCCTTAGTGTTTCTTGAGGCTACCCGGACAGAACACTTATCCGCTGCCAAGTCCAGTTCTGCTATCAGAACCCGACCTTCTCTGTCACCAATAGCTGACCCTCTCTGATAAGTCAGATTGACTTAGAGAAAAGTTTGAAAAACCTGAACAGTCTACTCACCCCCCTAGATTGTTCCCAGTATATACGGGACCAACACATATATATCTAATTTCTACGCTAGTGTCGCCATCATTTATGCAGCCTCCATCATCGTCGTCCAGGTATATCATAGCCCTCCTCCTACTACTACTGGTTGGGGGGGGGGGGGGGGGGGTAGAAAGAAGGCTTCAGAGGTTGGTCATTTGGGAGAGGACTATCAGTATATGACCAAAGTTCAATTTACATTTTCATACATAATTGTTCGATCGTGAATGCTCTTAGTGATGTGGTGCCAAAATCACGTATATAAGCACATAAATCGGATTTGTATATAAGCACATAAATCGGATTTGTATGAAAAAGATGTATGGAGGTGATGTATACCATGTTACACAATCATTTAGTGAATATTTTCACTTTGTCATCTTTTTCGTTTGAATGGGTATATGTAGACGGAATGATTGGCCAATTTAATACTCCGTATACGTAGTAGCAAGTACTCACGCGCTCAGAAATAAAAAAAAAAAAAATCAAAATTTCCTCTTCATAAAAAGAATAAAATCATCCGTATGTTTTTCCTTGTCTCGTGTTTAACATTATTCAACTCTATTTAGGGGTGTTTGGATTGGATTCTTAAAAGCTTCTACGGAAGCTGAAGTGTTTGGGTGAAAATGTAGAAGTGATTATGGTGCTCTAAATTAACTTCTAGAATCAGTCTTTTTAGAAGTTGGGGGACCAGCTTCTGAAAACTGATTCTGATTCTGCTTATGCTTTAAAAGAGAAGCAGAATCAGAATCAGTTCCAAACACCCCTTAATAGGCTATTGGTCTTATAATTAGTGTTTCCATCTATTATTGTGTCAGAACTATTCTTATTTAATATATCTACATTAATTCCTTTCAAAAAATATCTACATTAGTTATTTAACTTTTTATGTATTTTAAATTTAGCTTACACGATTTATCAGATCTTCTAGTGTAACTTCTAAATGTAAATCTTAGTTTATAATACAATTTTAGCATTATATGAATTGGCTTTATAAATGAGTCATCAGTAAAAAAAAATAACAACGATGTTTATTTGGAACATTATCAATGAGTAATTAGATTAATCTAACTAGAATTGGTCAGAAATGCTTCAAATAATAATAGTATAATGATAATAATATCAAAAGACAAAACTACATATTTATAACTAAACTAAAGATTATTTATAAAAATGTGACTAATGACTAGAGTACTAATGAAATTATAGTAACTTATGTTTAACTTTTACACTTAAGTTACCATATATGATACTACATTATAATACGTAGTAACTATTAATCATATTTGTGTGTTTTATTTTAATAATATTTTTGAAAAAATCTCATATGAATATACTACGTACTTACTATGGAGTAGATATATATTTACCAAACCATAATTATATTGATTATACCAAATATAAGAAAATTGGTGTGTTTACATGAGAAACTTACAATCACACCAAATTATTAGAATCCATTTGACAACATTAAAATTGATGAGATAAATATAAATTGATGAAATTTTGATTGAAGCGACATAATTGATTGTATCTGTTGAATTGTAGACAAATTATATTTAAAATTAGATTGAGAAAAGGCTCTTAACTTTGGAAGGGAAAGTATTTGAAATCGTTCCTTTTAAACGTATTGTATCTGTGTAAACACCCTTATTTAATGCAGTAACTTCCTCGATAATTACTATGGGCGTGGGATACCGTATATACGTACTAAACCGCCGACCCACACGGCTCATTTTCTTCTCACCTTTTTTGTCCTAAATAAATAAACTATGAGGAGTCATTTCAAACCTTCGCACCAATTTTCAACTACAGTTGACTTCTTTCTGGGAGCTGTATTTAAACGTATATGCATCTCCCAGACTAATTTCTGCAGTTTCTTACATTAAAACGAAGTACACGCATTTTGGCAAAGATCCATCCATTTCTTTTTTATATGGATTGGTGGCAAACCCAGAATTTTTTCTTCCCGTAGCACCTATGTAAATCAGGTGCCTTTCTTCTCCGCAAGCTATCAGATTGCAAGGCCAGATTTTTCTCGTCAAAAGATTGGATTTTTATTTTTTATTTTGATTTTCCCAGAAACCACTTGAGCTGGCTTCTAATTCTTAAGCCAGAAACATTGTGAGGGTGTGAGAGAGATGGCAGGCGGTGAGAGCTCAAGGCAGATTGATCAGACGCCTACGTGGGCTGTGGCTGTTGTGTGTACGGTTATCATCGTCTTCTCAATTGCATTGGAAAAGATTATTCACAAACTTGGAACGGTACTTCTACTGTTAAATTTCCCGTTGAAGTCTCTGTGATGAGCTTTTCACTTTTTTTCCTTGCTGTCTCGGTCTCTCGACAAAAGTGTTCTACAGCAACTTATTTGAAATAGTTTTTTTTTGTTTTGTTGAAATAGTCTTGTTAATTGCTTTTCTTTCTTACTATAATTTCTTGATTTTGTTTGGGAAGATTTTGTTTTTTAGCCCCAAATTTATTGCAGCCAAATCTGTTTTTAAGAATCTGAGAGAGCTTTTTCTTCCTTGAGCAATTTTTTCATTGTAATGATCATTGACACAAATTGCATCTATTCAGTGGCTGACAGACAGGCACAAGAAAGCTTTGTATGAGGCTTTAGAGAAAGTCAAAGCTGGTATGCGCAGGAATTCATTTATGATCTTTCTTCACTCCTATCTATTGAGAAAGTCAAATTTGTTTTTCCACTTCTTTTGACATCCCCTACTATGTATTTTCAGAATTGATGATTCTCGGATTTATCTCATTGATCCTTGTATTTAGTCAGTACTACATTGCTGGAATATGTATTCCAACACATGTTGCTGACACGATGCTTCCCTGTAAAGCTGCTGAGAAAGTTGCTAATGAGGAGGAACACCGTCGTAGGCTTTTGTCGTATGAACGCCGCGCTTTGTCAGCTGGTCAAGAACTTAAATGCAAGGAGGTACGCTTCTATTGGCATCTCGTATTCTTTTTCTTGGATTAACTTCGGGACTGTAATGATATTTTAATATAATGACAAATGTTCAGCTAAAACAAAAATCATCATGACTTTTAATATGCAGTGATGATTGTGATATTCCCATATCAACAATAGTGAACATTTAATCATTTTTTTCTATGGCTTTCATTTTAATAAAATTATACTAGTAGGATTTTTTTTCTGCTGAATTTATCTAAGACCTTTCTGTTGTTCCAGTTTTGGATATATGTTAGTCTTCATGCCTACAAATACTTACAATACTATGTGATGCTATCTCCTTATTAATCTGATGTATGTGAGTGTTTCTAACAGGGGTATGCATCTCTCATTTCTGTTGATGGGCTGCATCAATTACACATCCTTATCTTCTTTTTGGCAGTCCTGCATGTATTTTATAGTGCTATTACTATGTGGCTTGGAAGACTAAAGGTACTCAAATGGAAAGTTTCTTATATTTATTTTTGTATTAATTATGTTGAACCATAGCATGTGACGGAATTTGGTTTATCCAATTTGTCCTAAAAAACATAACCTCGTTTTAACTAAATATGCCCATTGAAAGGTGGATGTGCAACTGGATCCATTTCAAACCTAGATGTTTTTGCTATGTGAGAGAACTCAGCACTTGGGCGAAACAATACTAAAAGATTAAATCTGATCGATTAGTTAGTTAAACCCAAGATCTTGTAAACTCGTCATTTTTCTCTTTACTTGTGTGAGGTGAGACCTCAACACTTAAATTTCTGAGGTGTGAAACTATGTTCTTCAGATTCGTGGATGGAAACAATGGGAGCAAGAAACTTCATCTCATAATTATGAATTCTCAAATGGTGTGTAACTGCATTGTTTGATCATCTTATCATGTTGTTCTTGCTTTTCGTAAGGTGTCTCATTTTGATTACGGGGTTCAAAATTGCAGATCCTTCGAGAGTCAGATTTACTCATGAGATATCTTTTGTGAGAGCTCACACGAGTTTCTGGACCAGGATTCCTATATTCTTTTATATTGTAGGGCACTTTTCTTTAATCAAAGTTACTCTTGATCTGATTAGAAATGGTTTTTTACATAAAGTGGCACAGTTCAATGTCTTGTTACCAAGTTTAAGACTTTTTAAACACTCTTCAGTGTAGGGTTTTAGCCAGCTTTAAACTTGTTTATCTCTTGCAGGGGTGCTTTTTCAGACAATTCTTTAGATCAGTAAGCAAATCTGACTATATGACCCTGCGCAATGGCTTTATTAGTGTGAGTTTAAAGTTTCATATTTTCTCTCTTCTTTACATTTTTATCACTCATTATTACACACAGGACAGAAAGCTATAGATAGATCAATCGGAAAACATGTTCTATGACGCGTTATGAACTTATGCAGGTTCATTTAGCCCCTGGAAGTAAATTTAACTTCCAAAAGTACATTAAAAGGTCCTTAGAGGATGACTTCAAGGTGGTTGTGGGAGTCAGGTACTCGAATGGTTCTCCTTTGTATTTCAATTTTTTTTTTGCTTCAATATTTTGCACTTTTTATTGATATCAAGTGCTTTGAACTTGTCTTATTTCAACTAAAATATGTGTTCGCTGGCAGTCCAGTGCTTTGGGCATCCTTTGTGATATTCTTGCTCCTAAATGTGAATGGTAAGCTATCCTTGAAGAATAATACTCCGTAAACTCTTCCGTATTTTGCCCTGTTATGGCCATCTTTAACGTGCAAAATCATTTTAGGTTGGAGGGCACTGTTTTGGGCATCTGTGATTCCTCTAATCGTAAGAATTCTAGCTTGATTTACAAGTGTAGGAGGAAAAGGAAGGGTGCATGAGTTTTGGGATGAATTTTTGAGAAGTGTTTGTTTTTTGCTCAGATTATTTTAGCTGTTGGGACAAAGCTTCAGGCTATTTTGACAAAAATGGCGCTTGAAATCACAGAAAGGCATGCAGTCGTTCAAGGAATCCCTCTTGTACAAGGCTCAGACAAATACTTTTGGTTCAGTCGGCCTCAATTAGTTCTCCACCTCATTCATTTCGCCTTATTTCAGAACGCATTCCAAATAACATACTTCCTGTGGATATGGTATGAATATGGAGTGCACAACTGCTTCCACGAAAGTTTTCAGCTGGTCATTGTGAAAATGGCCTTGGGGGTGGGAGCCTTGTTCTTATGCAGCTACAGTACGCTGCCTCTTTATGGGCTTGTAGCTCAGATGGGGTCACGCATGAAGAAATCCATCTTTGATGAACAGACATCCAAGGCTTTGAAGAACTGGCACATGGCCGTAAAGAAGAAGCAAACCAAGGGAGCAAAATCCCCCTCCAGAACCCTGGGTGGAAGTCCATCTTCATCCACGCTCGGCTCGAAGCTTCGCCCAAAAGCCCCTTCACTGCATCGCTTCAGATCTCTTGGCGTGCCGTCCCGCTCCCACCCATTCGACGACGGCGATGTGTCTGACCTTGATAACGATCCATCGGACGATGCAGTGATGCAAGTTGATTTCGAGGATCAAGGCAGTAAGAGCGAAGGTGACTTCTCCTTCTCAAACCCTACTGCACCATGAGATGCCACTGTCTTCTCATCGCAAACTATTCCATTCATTTTAAGAGACAAAAAACACATTATGTCAAAGGTGTTATTAGAAAGATGTAGATGAATGAATTCCCACGGTTGTATATTGTGTGTGTAACTCACACTTTCAATATATATTATACGACTATAAAATTCAAACAAATTACATTCGTCCCAAATTGTATATTACAATTTTATTTTATTCACTTAATTGTTACTCCCTCCGTCCCGAAAAGGATTGCCAAATTTTCTTTTTTGGATGTCCTAAAAAGATTTGTCATTTCCATTTAAAGTAAAGAATATGTGGCGAAAGTTAATTCTCTCTCCTCTACACAAATTTGAACCACACAATTTTTACTTTATTAATCCACGCGAAAGTCAAAGTTGGTAAACCTTTTCGGGACAGAGAGAGTATATCAATTCTTAATCAAATACGGAGTATAGTTTATTACGAATTATTATTATTACTATTGTTATATCTTTGTAGTTAAAAAAAGGGAAAGCTCTCTAAATAGGACCAAAACAGTTTGAAATTTTCAAAATAGGACTGTCATATTTTTTATTCCCAAAATAGGAGTAATTACTGTCAAGTTTGGAAATACTGTCATGTTGAAGTCTGGTACTGCCAAAACATGACAGTGATTAGTCTTATTTTGAGAATAAAAATATGTCAGTCCTATTTTGGAAATTTCAAACCTTTTTAGGTCCTATTTTGGTAATATTCTCTTAAAAAAACATCTTTGTAGTTATTAAATGAAAGTCACCATTATTATAGATTGTGGCGTACACCAAATGAAAGTATTGCCGGGAGTGAGAAGTTGGTGAACTGGCATGAATCCTCCCCTTAATAGCACTGTGTTTTTGCCAAAATAAACTAATCTAAAATATATATGGAGTTGAGTTGGGAATCAAGCAAATAAGATCAAATGAGAATGATTGACAAGATAAAATAAATGGACTAATCTATAATCGATAATTTGAATATAATATGAATAGCTATGAACTTCAATAGAGAGAATAGGAGAGATCTTTTGTGTGTATTCGTAACTGAGTGTGTGTATTCATGTTTGAATGTGCTGATTACATAGGGCCTGTAACTATTTATAAGAGATGCATTTAATGCACTTTTGTCCGTTGACGACATGTTCCGACCATTACGACGACATGTCCCGACCGTTACGACGACATCAATATCGTCATTATTGCATCATCAATTCTGGTCAGCCCTTTGAGTAACCTATGTCATAATTACAATAATTACTCTAATTATATACATAAAACCGCCCAGATTTAATTAGCTAGCATTAATCCTAATGAATGTGTCATTAATTGCTATGGTCAACCCTTTTTGAATGTAGTCCAGGCCTTCAAACCCGTGTACCAACAATTGCCCCCTTTTCGAGAAGTAAAGGCGAATGATACACATGTCGATATATTCAGCAACAACTTGTTGAAAATTTGAAAGTACTGTTCGCACCTTGACTTATCCCATCGTGACATGTTGATCAACTTTTTGACAAAATGTTTCCGCCCTTCTTTCGAATAACCTCTGATCAGATCCGTCTTCTTGACAGAAACAATGAGCTAGAATTTTGTCCCTTTCCGTTAAAAGTTGTGCTGACGAATAGATGATGGAAATTTGCATCATCTCTCATGTTGATGTCGACATTCCGGTTGGAAAAGGGGACATCATCCGTCGTCAAAGATTACAAGTTGGGTTGTGTGAACATAATCCATAACCTGCAAAAACTTTAAATAACGTGTCGTTTGTAATTTTGTCAATGTTGTCAACATGAGTGTTTATGATTTGTATCCATGTCGTTCGTAGCGTCTCCTTATGTTTTGGAGCTAATGTTGTCACGCTTTTGTTGCGTACTTTTGTAGTTTTGTGTTTGTCTGACTTTGATGCTGTCAGCATTTGTGATGTATGATCTGTCTGTTTGTTTTGTGTAGTTTTGGCCAAAACATGTAGGGCTTCTCGGTTCGTGGCTCATACTTCTCATATGAAAGACTCGAGCTGACCCCACCTTCCCTTGTTTAGGGGATTGTGTCAGCGGTTGTCGCTATGTGTATTGACTGTTTTGTGTTTTGTCAACATCCTGCATACAAAGACATTGTCAAAATCTGGCCGTTGGCTTTTAGCCAACGGCCCTCCGATGCTTAAGTTAGTAACGAATGTGAAAGAAAGGCATATTGACTATGTTAATCACATTAGAAATGAAAGGGTTTTAAGTGTACTGCATTCCAGCTCCTCGGCGCTTGCTTACCGTCGACGGATCGCAGCTGATATGCCCCCTGTCCGACGACTTCTGTGATTTCGTATGGGCCCTCCCAGTTGGGACTAAACTTTCCGATTGCCTCATTGCCAAAGGATTTCCTAAGCACCCAATCTCCTTTCCTGAATACTTTAGCTCGGACGTCTTTATTGTAACTTCTTGCCACCCTTTGTTGATAGGCTGCCATTTGCACTCTAGCCTTTTCTCTTAATTCGTCAATGGTGTCGAGGTCGTGAACCAGCTCTACGTTGTTTGATTCCTCTGTGATAAGCCCGTACCTAGATGTTGGCACTTCAACCTCGACTGGAATGACAGCTACGCACCCATAGACCAGTGAGAAAGGTGTTTGTCCCGTAGCATTTTTTGGTGTCGTCCTGTCTGCCCATAATATTAGGGGCAGCTCTTCGGCCCACTTTCCTTGTGCCTTTTCAAGTCGCTTCTTCAAATTTGAAATGATGATTTTGTTGCTTGACTCGGCTTGTCCATTTGATTGTGGGTAACGAGGCGTCGACATCTCCAGTTTGATATTGTACTTCTCACAGAACCGTCTTGTTTTGATGCTGATGAATTGTGATCTGTTGTCGTAGACGATTTCTAACGGAATGCCAAATCTTCTCAATATATTTCTTTTAATAAAAGATATCACTTGGGTGTCGCGGATTTGTCGGAAGGGTTCCGCTTCGATCCATTTTGAGAAGTCGCCTGTCATTGCCAACATGTAGACTTTTTGCCCGGGTGCCTCAGGGAGCTTTCCTACGATGTCCATACCCCATTTCATAAAAGGCCATGGAGATAGGACAGGGTGGAGTGATTTTGCATGTTGATGATGCAATGGTGCATGCTTCTGACAAGGTTGACAAGCTCGGGTGTATGTGGCAGCATCATGCCTCATCGTTGGCCAATAGTAACCGAACCTTAGTGCCTTGTTTGACAGACTTCTTCCTGCTGCGTGGTTGCCACATTCTCCTTCGTGAAGGCTTTTGAGTACTTTGACAGCTTCTTGTGGGGATAAGCACCTTTGATATGGACCTGCTTTAGAACGTTTAAACAAAACGTCATCAATTAACAAAAACTTTGTTACCTTTGATAGGAGCGCTCTTGCTTCTCTTTTGTCAGCTGGGAGGATGTTGTGTTTGAGATAGTTCACATATGGCTGCATCCAGTTGCTTTCAGCAGTTGATTCAATGATGTTGACAACTTCCGTCTTCATGATTGCTGGTTCAGTGAAATGGACGAATGGTATGTTGTCGTTGCTCTCTGCCCCCAGACATGATCCGATTGCTGCTAAGGCATCAGCCTGGACGTTTTCCTCCCCGGGACTTGATCAAAGGTGATGTTGTCGAAATTGTTGCTCAACTCAGTGACGACTTGCAGATATGCCGTCATCTTTGGGTCCTTAGCTGCATAAACCCCATTAGTTTGATTAACAATTAAAAGGGAATCGCACTTTACCTCGATTAGTTTTATGCCCAAGTTTCGGGCTAAGTTTAGTCCGAAGATCAATGCCTCGTACTCCGATTCGTTGTTTGTTGCGTTGAAATCACACCGGACAGCTTGTAGTATGGTGCCCCTTGTGGTGACTTCAACATGACTCCAAGGTCTGCTCCGTGCATGTTCGAGGCTCCATCAGTATGTAGTATCCACTAATGTTGGTGTTGTTCCCCTATCAGAAGGCATACTTCCCTTTCCGCCTCTACTTGTAGTTTGGGGCTGAAGTCTGCCACAAAATCAGCTAAGGCTTGCGACTTCAAAGCTGTTCTGGGTTCATACTTGATGTCGTATGCCCCTAACTGTATTGACCATTGATCATTCGACCTGTCAGTTCTGGTTTCCTCATGATGGACTTCATGAGATAGTTAGTACGGACGCAAATAGAATGTGATTCAAAATAAGGACGCAATTTTACGGATGCTGTAATTAATGCTAGTACTAGCTTTTCTAAAAGTGCGTACCTGAATTCCGGCCCGTTTAATGACTTACTTACATAGTAAACTGGTGTTTGATATCCGTCTTCTTCTCTGGTCAAAACCGCGCTGACAGCATGTTCGGACACTGCCAGATATAGATGTAGTTCCTTGCCATCCTTGGGTTTCGTCAGTAGAGGTGGTGTCGTCATGTACTCCTTTAGTTGTTGTAGGGATTTTTCATGTTGTTCCGTCCATTCGAATTTTTTATTTTTTCTGAGGACATCATAGAAAAGTCGGCACCTGTTTGACGACTTTGATATGAACCTGTTGAGTGCTGCAACTCGTCCGGTCAGTCTCTGGACATCTTTGATTGATTTGGGAGATTCAATGTCTAATATGGCCCGGACTTGTTCCAGACTAGCTTCTATCCCCCTTTCGCTGACAATGTAGCCTAAGAATTCTCCTGACGACACCCCAAATGTCACGCCCCGGACCTAACCGGACACGTCAACAATCCGCCATACAGTACGAATAGTCAACCGCAGTCCAACACATCCATACTATACAAGGCGTCTGGAATATCATTCACACATTGTACATCCATAAACAACATAATGTAAAATAATCATTTAAAGCAGCGGAAATGTTCAATACAAATGTGCACGCCACACTTAGGCATCATGGGCATCCAAGCCCTAAATACATATTAAGGAAAATTAATATCCATGAGCATGGTTTAAGTCGTTTTCAAAACAGAAACAGAAGAAGCACGAACCACGCCTTCTTCTCTTAAATTCTCCGATGCAACGGGCGGTAGCGGCAAGCTTTAATCCCGACCTGAAACTGTGAGGTGGCCTCCCCCGTGAAGGGGAGGTCAGTACTTGGAAGCATTTGACAAGTACAATGACAACTATACTAAGTATAATCAAAGTTTCAATTTCCAAGACCCTCAACTTAGGATGTTACTATTTGAAATTAATTTATGTTCCTTCATGCTAGAGCTCGGCTCATAGTCATATTAATTTGTGCTAGAGCTCGGCTCATAGTCACACCACATTTCGCTAGAGCTCGGCTCATAGTCATTCCTACATTTTTGTGCTAGAGCTCGGCTCATAGTCACACTACATTTTGCTAGAGCTCGGCTCATAGTCATTCCTACATTTTTGCTAGAGCTCGGCTCATAGTCATACTACCACGTGCTAGAGCTCGGCTCGTAGTCACGTCATCTAATCCCTAAACCACTTCTTAGTCTAGGCTCCATTCCTTTTGAGTAACCCTTGAGGTCTACTCCTAACATAACTTGACTTTGTAAAGTCCACCCTAATTATCCTTTAAGGTTACTTAGCTTCAATATCTTGGGATTAGCTCCCAAGCACTATTGAACTAACATTTCCGACTAGTCTTCAATACTAGTCGTCTAATCTTAATAAGCCAACGCCAATTTCATAATAATTCATACATTTCAATTTAATTTCACATTCAAGTATAACTTGATTCAATATCAAAATATCACTTTTTATTTCCTTTCATGAGGTAAAAGCATATTTATCACCATACAATTTTATGACTTACACCACAATTGGGTCATTATAATCACAACACATAATCATACACAATTTATTCTTAAATTTGTATATTATGCATTTCCTTTTATGAACAATACTATATTCCATTTTAGGCATTCTTAATCATAAATAACTCATGCCAAACACATATAATTCATTTAGGCAATCTTATGAAATTGACCCAATAATTATAAACAATATAGTCGGTCATCCTCACCTTAAGTGAGCTCCCGCGCGTTCTACGCTCCCCGGTTGAACTTTGACTAGTTTCCGGTGAACTTTGACCAACTCCGGCGAACTTTGACCAACTCCGGCGAAACTCCGGCGAAACTCCGGCGAGGCTCAAAATACTTTAAATCAAGTTCCTAACAAGGTTTTAACATCATAAAACCTTAATCAATACAAATAACCTCTAAAAGGTTATTTTCCGGTGAACTTGTCGGTTTGGCTCCTAAGTCCGTTCTTGGACTTAGAACTACTTTCCAACCCATCATTCCACACTTTTATCAAGTAGAACAATCCCAAGGATTCTCCATAAGATATACATCTCATATGATAGAAGAAAAATAAAGGAAAAGTCAATATAAGGTTATTACCTTAATCTTTCTCACTTTTCCTAGCTTTTTCTCCCTTTAATCTTTCCCCTTGGATCCCTAATGTTGGAGCTCTCTTCAAGGATTAGAAAGGAGGATGGAGGTTTTCTTTTTTTTTTCTTGCTTGGGTTGTGCTGGCCGAGAGAGTGATTGAGGGAGAGAGAGAGAGGATTTCCTTGTCTCAATAGTATGAGTGGAGTGGGGGGAGAGGGCCACCTTAATTTGTTTGATCCCCTTCTAATCAAATTCCACCCCTTCCCATACCCCTCCAGCCGACCAAGCCTCCTAATGGAGTGCCCAAATTCGTGGGTTGGCCCCCACCCATGTGGGAGGTCAACCCTTTTTGTCCCAAAGTGCACAATCGGTCCCGAAAGTTGTATTTTTCGGACTGTTTTAAATATATTTTACTTTATCGGGTCAAATAAAATATATTATGTGTTTCTTAATCATTATGACCCTTATAATGAATATAAATTTCCCAAACTTAATTTATAGTCTCCGAAATTCATTTCGGGCTTTTATCCGTTAAATTACCAGTAACGGTATTTTGGCCTTTTTGATCAACCGGTCAACTCTATATCATCTCTTTGGACCAATAAATTATCCACCACTATATAAATATTATATTGACCAAGATGAATAAAATATACGGTCTCGGGAATATCGGGCGGCCCCCGCTCCCGGTGTGGGCCCCACGTGCGAATTTACTATTCACACAAAATAATTAATAAAAATTCACAACTTCGTATTCTCGTTAACCATTATACAAGGTTCAATACATTATTCACTTACAAGTAAATACATTTGGGGACGGTGTTACAAGTTCACCCCCCCTTATTTGGGATTTCGTCCCCGAAATCCACGTGTCTAATCGAAAAGAAACGGGTATTGCTCCCTCATTGAGACCTCCGTCTCCCAGGTTTCTTCTTCGACTCGATCACTCCTCCAAAGAACCTTCACCATTGGAATCTCCTTGTTCCTCAATTTCTTCACTTGTTGCCCGACAATCTCCACCGGTTCTACTGCATATTGTAGATCTTCACGTATCTCTACCGGTGGCTTCTCAAGAATATGAGATGGATCTCTCACGTATTTCTTGAGCATCGATACGTGAAACACGTCGTGTATCTTCTCAAGTTCTGGCGTCAACTTCAGACGGTATGCCACGGCCCCTATCCTTTCAAGAATTTCAAATGGGCCAATGTATCGGGGGTTGAGTTTTCCCCTCGATATAAATCGGATGATACCCTTCCAAGGGGAAATCCTTAGGAAGACCTTATCACCGACCTCGAACTCCAATGGCCTTCGTCGTTTGTCGGCATAACTCTTCTGCCGATCTTGGGCAGCCTTGAGTCTATCCTGAATGACTTTCACCTTAGCCTTGGTGATTTCAACAAGTTCAATCCCTTCGAGCTTGGCCTCGCCAACCTCGTCCCAACACAACGGTGTCCTGCATTTCCTCCCATACAATGCCTCGTATGGAGGCATGCCAATACTTGCCTGATAACTGTTGTTATAGGCAAACTCGACTAGGGCCAAATGTTTGTCCCAACTCCCTTGGAACTCCAGAGCACATGCCCTAAGCATGTCCTCCAATATCTGTATCACCCTCTCAGATTGTCCATCCGTCTGTGGATGAAAAGCCGTGCTAAACTTCAGTTTAGTACCCAAAGATGCTTGAAACTTGGGCCAAAACCGAGATGTGAATCGTGGATCCCTATCCGAGACAATGGATATCGGGACTCCATGTAATCTCACAATCTCTTCCGTGTATAACTTTGCCAATCTTTCAAGAGGATAAGTAATGTTGATAGGCAAAAAGTGTGCACTCTTAGTGAGCCTATCAACCACTACCCATACTGCATCGTAGTTGTTCACTGTTCGTGGTAGCCCCACCACGAAGTCCATGGTAACATGCTCCCACTTCCATTCTGGAATGGTCAGTGGCTGCAAAAGCCCCGCCGGGTGTTGATGCTCTGCCTTAACTTGTTGGCAAGTAAGGCATCGACTCACGTACTCTGCGATGTCTCTCTTCATACCCGACCACCAGTAACTTTCCTTCAAGTCTCGGTACATTTTGGTACCCCCTGGATGCATAGCATATGCCGAAGAATGAGCCTCCTCTAGTATGGACTTTTGGAGCTCCTCACTCTTTGGTATGCATACACGGTCTTTAAACAATAAAAGACCGTCATCACGTACCCGCAAGTTCTCAACGGGCCCCTCAAGGATCCTCTCGCGGATCTTCTGGCATTCATCATCAGTGGCCTGACATCTACTGATCTCACTCAGCAATGTGGGCCTAACCTCGAATCTAGCAATGAGGACCCCACTCGTGGACATCTCCACTTGTGCCCTCAAAGTTCGTAGACATGTGAGTAATGTCCCCGACGTACTTTTCCTGCTCAGTGCATCGGCCACTACATTGGCTTTTCCGGGATGATAGTCAATGATCAAGTCATAATCCTTGATCAACTCCATCCATCTCCTTTGTCTCATATTCAACTCTTTCTGTGTGAATACGTACTTCAAGCTCTTATGGTCGGTAAAAATGTGACATGTCTCCCCATAGAGGTAATGCCTCCAAATCTTTAGTGCAAACACTACCGCCCCCAATTCTAGATCGTGGGTAGGGTAGTTCGCCTCGTGTTTCTTCAATTGCCTAGAAGCATAGGCAATCACCCGACCGTTTTGCATCAGTACACATCCAAGCCCTTGGATGCTAGCATCACTGTAGATATCATACCCTATCCCCTGTATAGGTAGGGCCAGTACTGGTGCTTCGGTAAGTCGTTTCTTCAGTTCAAGGAACCCTTTCTCACACTTGTCGTCCCATATGAACTTGGCCCCTTTCTTTGTGAGCTTCGTTAATGGAGACGCCAATACGGAAAATTTTTCCACAAATTTACGATAGTATCCCGCTAAGCCAAGGAAACTACGTATCTCTTTCACATTCTTGGGTCTCTCCCAATCCATAATAGCTTTAATCTTGGCGTTGTCCACGGCAACGCCCGAACCGGATATGACATGACCGAGGAAACCGATCTCTTTGAGCCAAAATTCGCACTTTGAGAACTTGGCAAAGAGTTGTTTTTCCCTTAACCGATCAAGTACAAGCTTCAAATGGTGTTCGTGCTCCTCCTCGCTCTTGGAGTATATCAAGATGTCGTCAATGAATACTATCACGAATTGATCTAAGTATTCACTAAACACACGGTTCATCAAGTCCATGAATGCCGCCGGTGCGTTGGTTAAACCAAACGACATCACAAGGAATTCGTAATGACCATATCTAGTGCGAAATGCACTCTTAGGTATGTCACTCTCCTTGATCTTCAACTGATGATACCCCGACCTCAAGTCAATCTTCGAGAACACCGTTGCCCCTCGAAGTTGGTCGAACAAGTCATCAATCCTCGGTAAGGGATACCTGTTCTTGATGGTGACCTTGTTCAACTGTCGGTAGTCAATACACATTCTTAGTGTACCATCTTTCTTCTTTACGAATAGTACGGGTGCTCCCCACGGTGAATGACTGGGTCTGATGAACCCATTGTCCAATAGTTCTTGTAGTTGGACCTTCAACTCTTGAAGTTCGGCCGGTGCCATTCGATAAGGAGGAATCGAAATGGGTTTGGTCCCCGGCTCCACTTCGATTACAAATTCAATCTCTCTATCGGGTGGAAGCCCCGGTAGGTCCTTGGGAAAGACGTCCGGGTACTTGCACACGACTCGAACATCCTTGATGTCGACTTCTTTCTTCGTATCATCTACCACGTAAGCAAGGTATGCGTGGCACCCTTTTTTCATCATCTTCCGTGCTCTCATCACGGATATGATACAAGCATTTGATTTCTCCCGATCGCCCTCGAAGCGTAGGGTCTCCCCATCATTGCCTTCGAGTTCAAGAACCTTCGTGTAGCAATCTACCCTAGCATGGTTCCTTTCTAGCCAATCCATCCCTAGGATTGCATCGAATTCAATCATGCCCAGCGGTACGAAATCACACGTCAAGGTTTGACCATTAACCTCCACCCCACAAGATGGATAATAACAAGTCCTTTCCACGTCATCCCCTAGTGGTGTTGATACCACTAAGGTTTGCATCAATGGTGCGGATTGCACTCCCAACCTCTTGGCGAACGCTTCATTCACAAACGAACGTTGCGCCCCGGTATCGATAAGGATTCGCGCATCCTTCCCATTAATCTTTAGTGTCCCTACATTCATGAACCATGTAAGACATTTTTCCTACCTTCCCTACCCATTTAGAGGAGGTTACAATGTTCACACGCATGTTAGGGATCAAGAAAAGGTCTTAACGTCGCAAAACAGTGCGAAAAAATCGCATTTCGGCAATCTGGGTGCCAGGCACGGCGTGCCTGGGGTAGGCACGATCGTGCCTGGCTCAGAAGAAAGCCCTGGGGGCTACTGCCTTGGAGGCACGATCGTGTCTGCCTTAGGCACGATCGTGCCTGGGTTGGAAAAATCCTGGGAACCACTGACTTGGAGGCACGATCGTGTCTGGCTTAGGCACGATCGTGCCTGGTTTGAAGGAACACCTGGGCAGCTACTGCCTTGTAGGCACGATCGTGTCTGCCTTAGGCACGATCGTGCCTGGGTTGGGAATTTTCCTGGGCAGCTACTGACTTGGAGGCACGATCGTGTCTGCCTTAGGCACGATCGTGCCTGGGTCCCAGCCGCCTGAAGTTGCCCGAAATCCCCCGGTTCGACCCCAAAACCTCGTGCAATGATCCCAACGATTAGTAACCTTAATTTATGGACTAATTAAGGATAAAACACTATTATACGAAAGGCAATACCTGCAACGGAGTCGGGATTGGCCCGAGCATCGGCCTCGGTCATTGCGTAGACTCTAGCTTGCGTCCTTCCTTGATTCACGGACGGCGCGTTGCTGGCGCTCGCTCCCCCCTGCCCCGTACTAGCATGGGGTGCTCCGGTCCGACTCCTACTTGCCGTAGTAGCGCCGCTAGATCCCGCCCCTCGGTTTCCACCAAGCTGAGGGCAATTTGGTTTGAGATGCCCCGTGTCTCCACATTGGTAGCACCGAGGAGGGTCACGACACTTACCGGCGTGGCTCCTGTTGCAATTTCGGCACCTGGGCGCTATTGAGGCTTGTGAGCCCGAGTTGTGCCCGCCGAAAGCCGAGTTTCCCTTGGATGGCGGCGCCGGTGCCCTGAACGATCCTCCTCCCCCGTGGTTCCCCTTTTTGTTAGAACCTTGTGGGCCATGGCTTTCCCACTTCCTCTTCTTCGCCTCCTCGGCGTTCCTCCGCTTTCTTTCCTCCCACTCCTTCTCTCCCTTCAGGCCCTGTTCAACCACTTGACTAAACGTCATATTAGGCAATTGTGTTGCCCTCTCGCGTATGTCAAGGTCTAAGGCATCCCAGAAGTGGTTCACCATTCGGTTCTCATCACATATGTACTCCGGTATGAATTCGGCAAGCTTTCTGAACTTGTGCTCAAGTTCCTTCACCGTACATGCGCCTCCCTGTGTCAAGTTCGTATACTCCCTCCTCTTCATGTTTACCTCGAAGTCGGAGTAGTATTGGTTGAAGAACTCCTGCCGAAAGTTCTCCCATGTGACGACTTCGCCGTACTTTCCTTTGACCCCGTCCCACCACGTGGACGCCATGCCTTCGAGCAATCTTGTTGCCACCCTCAATTTCATGATGGGTGGCAGCTGCATGTCAAGGGCCGCTTCGTTGAATCTTTTGATCCACTCGGCCGCCACGGAGATGTCCCCCGTTCCGTCAAACGGTTTACATCCCAAATCTCTTGCTTCCTTGACAAATTTGGAGATCCTTATGGTTGGACCTCCAGCATTTTGGCCTCCATGGGGTTCAACATGGACCCTAGAAGCACCATGACTTCCCCCTCTTGAAGCCATGCCCGAAGGTTGCCCCGCTCGGCGCCTTCGGCGTTGTCTCCTCTCCTCACGCTCCCGGTGGTATTGTTGGAGCAGCGCCTCGATTCTCCCAAGAGTGCCATCATCTTCACTCTCTTCACTCACATCATCATCCTCCCCATCATATGGGGTTTCCACCGGCTCGGTTTCCGGTCTATAAGTTGAGTCCTCATAGGACCAATAAGTCTCGCTCTCGGTGTCCACGTGGCCATCGCTCACGGTCTGTTGTTGGCCTCCACGGCCCCTTCCCCTTGACACCCTAGTGGACCCCCGGCTGCCGCGTTCGGACCCACCCGGTACACGGCCCGTCGGGTTCCTCCTAGTGATTCTACCAATTGGCTCCATTTCTGAAAGAAGTTTAGAATGAGCCATTAGACTCGTATCAACTGTCAAGTGACGGATAGGTACTTAAAGACATCTTTTGGCTTAAATCACCGCCATACCAATTGTTAAGGGTACCATCTTAACAATTAGAGACCTTGCAACTCAAGTACCAAAAGTTCTATAAGTACAAAACTTTATGCTCATGGTTTGCAAAATCATTTTCAAAAAGGAATTTTGAAGCTTCATTATGAAGTTTACGGACTAAGGCTCTGATACCAATTAAATTGTCACGCCCCGGACCTAACCGGACACGTCAACAATCCGCCATACAGTACGAATAGTCAACCGCAGTCCAACACATCCATACTATACAAGGCGTCTGGAATATCATTCACACATTGTACATCCATAAACAACATAATGTAAAATAATCATTTAAAGCAGTGGAAATGTTCAATACAAATGTGCACGCCACACTTTGGCATCATGGGCATCCAAGCCCTAAATACATATTAAGGAAAATTAATATCCATGAGCATGGTTTAAGTCGTTTTCAAAACAGAAACAGAAGAAGCACGAACCACGCCTTCTTCTCTTAAATTCTCCGATGCAACGGGCGGTAGCGGCAAGCTTTAATCCCGACCTGAAACTGTGAGGTGGCCTCCCCCGTGAAGGGGAGGTCAGTACTTGGAAGCATTTGACAAGTACAATGACAACTATACTAAGTATAATCAAAGTTTCAATTTCCAAGACCCTCAACTTAGGATGTTACTATTTGAAATTAATTTATGTTCCTTCATGCTAGAGCTCGGCTCATAGTCATATTAATTTGTGCTAGAGCTCGGCTCATAGTCACACCACATTTCGCTAGAGCTCGGCTCATAGTCATTCCTACATTTTTGTGCTAGAGCTCGGCTCATAGTCACACTACATTTTGCTAGAGCTCGGCTCATAGTCATTCCTACATTTTTGCTAGAGCTCGGCTCATAGTCATACTACCACGTGCTAGAGCTCGGCTCGTAGTCACGTCATCTAATCCCTAAACCACTTCTTAGTCTAGGCTCCATTCCTTTTGAGTAACCCTTGAGGTCTACTCCTAACATAACTTGACTTTGTAAAGTCCACCCTAATTATCCTTTAAGGTTACTTAGCTTCAATATCTTGGGATTAGCTCCCAAGCACTATTGAACTAACATTTCCGACTAGTCTTCAATACTAGTCGTCTAATCTTAATAAGCCAACGCCAATTTCATAATAATTCATACATTTCAATTTAATTTCACATTCAAGTATAACTTGATTCAATATCAAAATATCACTTTTTATTTCCTTTCATGAGGTAAAAGCATATTTATCACCATACAATTTTATGACTTACACCACAATTGGGTCATTATAATCACAACACATAATCATACACAATTTATTCTTAAATTTGTATATTATGCATTTCCTTTTATGAACAATACTATATTCCATTTTAGGCATTCTTAATCATAAATAACTCATGCCAAACACATATAATTCATTTAGGCAATCTTATGAAATTGACCCAATAATTATAAACAATATAGTCGGTCATCCTCACCTTAAGTGAGCTCCCGCGCGTTCTACGCTCCCCGGTTGAACTTTGACTAGTTTCCGGTGAACTTTGACCAACTCCGGCGAACTTTGACCAACTCCGGCGAAACTCCGGCGAAACTCCGGCGAGGCTCAAAATACTTTAAATCAAGTTCCTAACAAGGTTTTAACATCATAAAACCTTAATCAATACAAATAACCTCTAAAAGGTTATTTTCCGGTGAACTTGTCGGTTTGGCTCCTAAGTCCGTTCTTGGACTTAGAACTACTTTCCAACCCATCATTCCACACTTTTATCAAGTAGAACAATCCCAAGGATTCTCCATAAGATATACATCTCATATGATAGAAGAAAAATAAAGGAAAAGTCAATATAAGGTTATTACCTTAATCTTTCTCACTTTTCCTAGCTTTTTCTCCCTTTAATCTTTCCCCTTGGATCCCTAATGTTGGAGCTCTCTTCAAGGATTAGAAAGGAGGATGGAGGTTTTCTTTTTTTTTCTTGCTTGGGTTGTGCTGGCCGAGAGAGTGATTGAGGGAGAGAGAGAGAGGATTTCCTTGTCTCAATAGTATGAGTGGAGTGGGGGGAGAGGGCCACCTTAATTTGTTTGATCCCCTTCTAATCAAATTCCACCCCTTCCCATACCCCTCCAGCCGACCAAGCCTCCTAATGGAGTGCCCAAATTCGTGGGTTGGCCCCCACCCATGTGGGAGGTCAACCCTTTTTGTCCCAAAGTGCACAATCGGTCCCGAAAGTTGTATTTTTCGGACTGTTTTAAATATATTTTACTTTATCGGGTCAAATAAAATATATTATGTGTTTCTTAATCATTATGACCCTTATAATGAATATAAATTTCCCAAACTTAATTTATAGTCTCCGAAATTCATTTCGGGCTTTTATCCGTTAAATTACCAGTAACGGTATTTTGGCCTTTTTGATCAACCGGTCAACTCTATATCATCTCTTTGGACCAATAAATTATCCACCACTATATAAATATTATATTGACCAAGATGAATAAAATATACGGTCTCGGGAATATCGGGCGGCCCCCGCTCCCGGTGTGGGCCCCACGTGCGAATTTACTATTCACACAAAATAATTAATAAAAATTCACAACTTCGTATTCTCGTTAACCATTATACAAGGTTCAATACATTATTCACTTACAAGTAAATACATTTGGGGACGGTGTTACACCAAACGTGCACTTGGCAGGATTAAGCTTCAAATTGTATTCTTGCAACTTCTGGAAAGAGTTCCGCAGGTGATCGATGTGGTCCGTTGCCTTTTTGGATTTGACTAGCATGTCGTCAATATATACCTCCAGGGTTTTCCCCAGTTGGTCTTTGAAGATCATGGTGACCAATCTTTGGAAAGTGGCACCTGCATTTTTTAAACTGAAGGGCATGACAACATAGCAATACGTACCTGTCTCGGTGATGAATGCGGTCTTCTCTTGGTCCTCCAAGTGTAATTGTATTTGATGGTAACCGCTGAAAGCGTCCATGAATGTCAACATTTCGTGTCCTGCTGTGGCATCTGCGAGGACGTCAATGTGCGGCATCAGGAATGAGTCTTTCGGGCATGCCTTGTTCAAATCAGTGAAGTCGACGCATACCCTCCACATAAGTTTTTTGCCCTTTTGGTGGCCCTTTTTCTTCTGCACTACAACAACGTTAGCAAGCCAATTAGGATAATTTACCTCGCGGATTTTACCGGTGCGTAGTAGTGTCTCCACTTCTTGATTGATGATGTCGTTCCTTTCCCTGGCGAAACGTCGTCTTTTCTGCTTGACAGGTTTATGTGCAGGGTTGACATTCAGTTTATGAGTGATCACTTGCGGGTCAATCCCCGTCATGTCGTCGTGGCTCCAGGCGAAAACATCTTTATGCTCCTTTATTAGTTGGTGTTTTTTATGCTATTAGTTAAGTAGTAGTTTTTTAACTTCATTGTTGAGACAAATTCCCTAGCACCTAATTCCATATGATAGAATGTATAGTTCAGCAAGTCCAGACACTTCTTCAAAAGAATGTTTCCCACTTTCTTATTCTTCTTCATTTAATTTCTAGGCTACACGTGAAAAAAGATTTTTAGTAAAACAATAAAATAATCGGTTCAAACAAAATAGGCAGTAACCAAACATACTAAGAAAACATGCATACCCAACAGAAATTAAAGGTAGTTTCAGCTACTCTTGGGCTATAAGATTTTGAAGAACAGTAATTTTGATTTTTAAAAGTGCTTCTTTGATATTAACTTTTTTTTTTGTTTATTGGGGCTAAGATTCTTGAGCACATAAATGGGAGTAAGAAAAGAAAATGCACTTCTTTTTCTTTGATCATTTTCTTCCTTATCCGGATATGAGTTTAGAACATGCACAAAGGAAATATTTGCAATTTTTCTTCTCTTGCATTCACTATGTTCTGAATTTGAAGTTTTGATTAAAGAATCCCAAAAATATGAATTACTTATTTGTTAAATTGATGGAAAGTAGGCATGAAGAAGTTTAGTTTAGTTTAAAAATTAGGCATATGGAATCTTAGTTTATATCTACAAAAACAAAACATACTCATATAGGTAGAAAATCCAATCCAAAAGTAGGCATGAAGAAGTTTAGTTTTGTTTAAAATATAGGCATATGGAATCTTAGTTTATATCTACAAAAACAAAACATACTCATATAGGTAGAAAATCCAATCCAAAAGTTTAATGGTTAATACAGAGGTACATTGATAGTGTAACATATAGAGTGAAAAGTCACAATAAAGAACTGAAACCCTCATTTTTTGCTGACTTAGGGTAAGATTCTTGAGCACATAAATGCTAGTAATCTCCTGCTATATTATGAGCAGACTCCTACTTTTGTATATATGTTTACAATAAAATAACTTTCATATATATGTTTACTTTCAAATTAAAATAACTTTTGGACAATAAAGTTGATTTATATAAACAGTCCACTATAATCCTAAAACATTGTTTCTAAGCAAGCCTCTGTTCCAGAAACAAAGGTTTACTATGAACAAAAAAAGCCATCAGAAAGTTGTCTAAAACGGAGGCCTTTGTTCAGATTTGTAGAAGCGCTTCAAAATGCACTTTAAGAATGGAGTTTTTTCCTAAAATAATGTTAAATAAAAAAAATATTTACCAAAATAAGGTCTAGTTAAAAGTATTTCCCAAAATGCTGCTTCCCTAAACATACGTAGTATATTTTTTAAAGTGTTAAATTATTTTTTTATTTTTATATATTCGATATTGATGTCATATGGAAGATAATAAAAAGTTGTGAATTTTGGTATATTTTTTGTAATAATCAGAATACAAATATAAAACTTATTTCAGTTTGAATTAAAAATGATATTTTTTGTTTTGGTGGGTCCACTATCCCATCTTCTTTTCGCATGCTTATTGCGTTGTTACGTATGTTACTCCTATAAGCCGCCACTTCAAGTGGCAGTTCTTATAATCACAATTTAGGGGAGCAGTATTTTGGGAAATACTTTTAACTAGACCTTATTTTAGTAAATATTTTTTTATTTAACATAATTTTAGGAAAAAACTCTTAAGAATGAGAATGGCTACTAAGAATTTGAAAAGGGTTGGACATATTTTTTTCTATCACTTCGACAAAGTTAAAACAGTGTAGTCTCAAGGAAAGGAAAAGTGAATTGTAATTATAATTCAACTTTAACCAAGATAAAATGAAACAAAATTTGGAACATACAAGTTAAGGTAATCAAGATTCTATAGCCAAAAATTGGCTAAAACATAATAATCGTATTGGAGGAAACTGGATGGAGCATTACCTATACACAGCGAGATAGATTGAATGTGCCGATTTGATGTGCCATGGCAGGCAGAAGGCAATTTGAGCTATTAATATTTGGAGTGTTTATTTGTTGCTGCAATACTAAACTCTACTCCCTCCGTCCCAAAAACAACTTCTCACTTTCCTTAAATGGATGTCCCTAAATTAACTTCACACTTCAATACTTTCCTTATTTGGCAAATTATCTACATCAAAACAGTGCCAAACAGTGTTCAAACAGTGTCAAACAGTGTTTGAACAGTGCAAAACAGTGCACCCAACAGTAAAGTCAAATTTATTTTCTTAATCTATGTGATTGTCAAACTGTGAAGTTGTTTTTGGGACGGAGGGAGTATTACAAAAGTTGTATTTGATTTCTGCTATAAACTACTCCAAGCCAATCAAATTAAGATTTATGCCTAGTTTTAGAGTCTATTATTGTAGTTGTAATTTAGCTCAAAAAACTGATTGAGAACAATGAATGTGAAAATGGTGAGCACATACAAAAAGTATATCATATCCAAAAATGTTGAATTCAAAAACTTAGTAAGCCAACCGTGTATAACTAAACAAAAAAAAATAAAACTGTGGTTTCGTATAATCACATTCAGTTATTTAACCAACTTGTATATCATCTAACTTAAAAAAAACTAAAACAGATAAGGTGAACTATAAAAACTAATATGCTTTTCTCATATAAACATTTCATAGAACACCTTATATACTTTAATTTACCTTATATACTTTGGTCCACCTGAAAGTCATTCAAAAATAGAGAAATAAATACAGTAGCAAATTAATACTGAATGCGCAAAAATGAATCAGACAATAAAATTATAAAAGTGTGTCGCAATACTAAGATGGTTGGCGGTTGATAAAGCAGCATAAATATTCTATAGATATCCATAGTGGCTTATATATATATGTATGTATATATATGTGTGTGTGTGTGTGTATATATATATATATATATATAGGGAGCGGTTCCGGTAAGAACGGATCTTAGGAGAAAAATGAGAACGAATCTGGACCGTTGGATTGAATTATGTGGAACTGAATTGTGCATTTGGTGAAACCAAAATGTGCATTAGATGATGTTGAAATGTGCAAAATAAACATTTAAACTCACATGTGCATTAGGTGAAACTGAAATGTGCAAAATAAAAGGTACAAAAATAACATTACATCGTACATTTTATTATGCACATTTTAGTTTCATCTAGTGCACATTTCAAGTTCACCTAATGCACAATTTAGCTTCACATAATGCCACTATATCGTACCCTTTGTGATGCACATTTCAATTTCACCTTATACACATTACAGCTTTATCTAATGCACATTGAATTTCACATAAAGCAAATCTAACGGTCCAGATTCGTTCTCATTTTTCTCATAAGATCATGTTCTTATATATATACAGAAATGCTCAGGTCCCTCCGGAGGGACGGGAGCAGCCGTCCGAACTTCACTGTTTGGGGCGGTTCCCGGTGAAATTTTTCGATGATTTTTTTTAGCATGTTCCTCATCAAGTCTAGTTTGTCCATACCAAATTTCAGCTCAAAATTCGACCGGGAAGGCAGTCAAATAAATTCTTGAAGCTTACTGCACATTCTGCGCATATATAAAGTGCAGTAAGTTTCAAGAATTTATTTGACTGCCTTCCCGTTCGAATTTTGAACTGAAATTTGGTATGGACAAA